AGGGTCAGAGGGAGAAGCAGGCTCCCTGCCGAGCAGGGAGCCCGATGCGGGACTCGATCCAGGGACTCCAGGATCATGACCTGAGCCGAAGGCAGTAGCTTAACCAACTGAGCCACCCAGGCGCCCAGAGCATGCATTTTTAATAATTAGTCTATATGCCTGTTAACCTTCATCCTGACCAGGGATATACTGATCCCCTCAAGGGTCATAGGCTTGAAGTGAGCCTGTACTAGACTGAGGCCAAAGCCAACTCTAGGCCATAATGAATAGAAAGTATAACTTCTATTGGGCAGAAGAGGAAGAGAAAAAGAAGTCAGAAATAAAAGCTAAGAGTGAAAAGACAGAAAGGAAGGAAAATGGAAAAGCAGAAATAAGGAAGAGTAGAAATGTGAAGAAAAAAAATCAAAAGAAGAATTGTACTGATAAAAGTAAAAAATGGACTTTGTATTCCATACACTACTCAGACCCTTTGTGGAAGGAGGCATGGTAGGATGATGCTGAATTTAGTAATTCTACCCAAGAAAGTCAGACTCATGGCTTCATAGGTGTTTGAGATAGGTGTCTGCCTTCTGGATACAAGAGATAGATGAAATCATTAGGTTAGATCCATTTCTTAAGTCCCAACTCAGTTGTGGGTTGTGTAAAGATTGTGAAGTCATTATTTCTGTGGATGTTTCCATGGATATTTTAGCAAATGGAAGGCTTATCTAAAGAATTAAATGTATTATTTAAAAAAAAAGAATTAAATGTACTACCTAAAGTTGGTTTTGCCAGAATTACCTTAATTCAGATGTTTAAACCCAAGGTCTTTACAAATTGCTTTACGAGACTAAGGAAGAGGAAATGAGTCAGCGGTCAGCCGGCAAATGAACAATGTGAAGGAAGGTGTTTGTGTTGGATAGCAGAATAAATCATTGCCTACTCTTTAAAATCTCCTATTTCAGTATAATGCTTACAAAGCCTTTCATTGCAGGAGACAAAGCATGTAACTTGATGATCTTCGACACTCGAAAAACAGCTAGACAGCCCAACTGCTACCTTTTTTTCTGTCCCAGTGAGGAAGCTTGTCCACTGAAACCAGCAAAGGGACTTATGAGTTACAGGATAATTAGAGGTAAGAATAGCATTGTTCTTTTTCTTTGGTGATTGGAATTATTTAAGGATGTGGTTCATGTGAAAGATTTTCTACAAAAGAGTCTAAGTAAAACTACCAAAAGTGGTCATAAATACAGAGGCACACTGGAAAACTCTCACGATTTAAAGTTCAGTTTATTAAATCAACCATCTTTTTTCCAATGAAAGATCTCCAAATGATAGTATTTTGTGTTGTGTAGCTTTTGTTTTTACCTTCCTGAGATAAAATTCCAGTATGTTTGTCTTCAGTTTCCAATTATTTTATAATAACATTAGCTGAAATCAAACACACTGGATTTTATTATCCAGACCTGGAGGGAAGTTCATTCAAGAAGTATTTACTGTGCATCTACCATGTGCCAAATTCTGTGCAAGGCATTGGAAATATAGTCTCCATACTAAACATATTTGTTCAGAATACAGAAAAAAAAAACTGAAAAATAATATAATTATTCGGATATGTCTTGGTGAGATTTTGGCTTGTTAGTTTTTCAAGATGAAATGCTTTTGGTATCAAGTTTCCTTTTATTTAAGTTTTGGAAAGTTTTTGTCATTACACTCTTGATGATTAATAATATTCTATTTGTTCATTTACTAAATAAACAACAAATGTTACTTAGCATCTCCTAGGTGCCAAACATTTATTCCGCCCTAAGGACACAAAAATATAACACTAAACATGAAAAACAAGGTCCTTACCTCTGGAACTTACGTTTTAGGAGAGACAATAATCATCATAAATAAGTAATCAAGAAAAATATAGTCACAAGTGCTATGCGGATGAGAAAAGACAATGTAATAGATGATCACTGAGTGGACTGTCTTGATTAGGTGATCAGAGGAAGCATCTGTGAAGAAGTAACCCCTCGACTGAGATCTGAACAGTAAGAAGTCAGATGTGAGATCTGAGAAGAACTTTAGGCAGAGGAAATAGCCCATTCCAATATCCTGAGGCAGAATAGTTTTGGAGTATTGAAGAACAAACACTTCAGTCCCAGCTGGCTGACTCATAGTGAACCATATAAAGAGTGATATGCAAGAAGTTTGAAAAGCGGGGAGGTCACATAAAGCTTTGGAAGCCAGAGTAGGAAGTTCTTATTTTAGGTGCTTAACAGGAAGCCGTTGGGAGTTTTTGAGCAGACATGTATTGTGGTGTTTTCAAGGTGATTTCGCAAAGCTCACTGGGACTGCTCAACTGTGGACGGACAAAAATGCAGCAGCAAGAGGGGCAGTGGGAAGACTGGATAGGAGGTGGGGCAAGATCCCAGCGAAACACCATGGCATTGTGGACCAGGGAGGTGGCAAATGAGGTAGAGAGAAGTAAATATACGGCCATTTCAGAGGTAGAACTGACAGGACTTGCCGATGGGGTGGGGTGGGGGGTGACAACAGGGAAGAGAGAAGCATTCGAGTTGAGTCCTAGCTTGAGTGTCTACATGGATGTTGGCACCATCTACTGAGCTGGAGAAGGTTTGAGGAGACTGGTTTTAGGGTTGGGAGGGGGAGTGCAATCAAGGGTTCTCTCTCTCTCTTTTTGAAGATTTTATTTATTTATTTGAGAGAGAGAGAGAACAAGAGGAGGAGCAGAGGGAGAGAGGGAGAGCAGACTCTGTGTTGAGCCTGGAGCCTGACGGGGGGCTCAATTCCAGGACCCTGAGAGCATGACCTGAGCCGAAATCAAGAGCCGGTCACTTAACTGATTGAGCCACCCAGGCACCCCTCAAGGGTTCTCTCTTGACTGTGTTATGTGTGAGGTACTTTGGGGAATGAACTACCCAGGGTGCCTGGGCACAGACTCTGCTTTGTCCTCTGGGTGAGCCTGTGTCAGAGTTTTGGTTAATGAACTAGATGTATCAAACATTCCTTTAAGCAGGAACGTAAAGCACAAATTATTTGTGTAAATTCTTCCCAAGTAGGGATATAAACCCAAGTATAAGAAAACTTGCACAGGGTGCAAAGTTTCAGTTCTGCAAGATGAAGAAAGTTCTGGAGATGGGTGAGGGTGATGGTTGCAGAGCAAAGTGAATATACTCAATGCCACTGAACTATATACTTAGAGTTATGTACAATTGTATGTACAATAACGTAAAATAATGTACATGTACAATGTAAAATGATTTTTAAAAACACTAGGCATAGAACAAATGAGGCTTCTCAAAACACTCAAGACCTTACTTTACGTGGACAGTGTCTTGTCCTGCCCCCGATCTGTGTGGCTCCTTCACTTCGTGCCTGTATATATATATATCATCTTGGCTAAAAACATTGGGGCCTCCAGGGTGGTGGTGATACTTCTTGCTGTCCTCTTTGATCACCTGGACCATTGCATTAGACAGCCAGGGGTGGTATCTAGCAGGAGATGGATATCCCAGTCTTAGTCTCCAAAGAGGTCAGGGCTCAAGACACTGATTGGAACGTTTGTTCTTCTCCTTCTGGAACTCCCATCATATGGAAGCTGGACCATAACGTTCTGCCTCTGTTATTCCTTCTCACTACCTCTTCATTCTGTCCCTTCTTCCACTATCCATGTGCTTCCCTATATCTGTCTTCTATTTTGTCATTAAAGCACAATGTCAAAGAAATTACAGGTAATTTACTCCAGTAATTCTACGTCCCTAAAATCTAAAGACACAACACCAAAACAAGAAAAAGCTATTGGTTTGAAGTTGTTTATTGTATAATTAGTTTAAAGAGTGAAAAACTAGAAGTAGCATAAATGTCCAATTGCCAGAGAATGATTGGGTGTAAAATATGATGGATCCACTTGAGAGAATATGATGCAGATGTTAAAAAATAAGTTTGAGGGGGGTGCCTGGGTGGTTCAGTGGTTAAGCATCTGCCTTCAGCTCAGGTCATGATCCCAGCGTCCTCCTGGGGAGTCTGCTTCTCCCTCTCCTCTGCTGCTCCCCCTGCTTGTGCTCTCTCTCTCTGTGTGTCAAATAAATAAATAAAATTAAAAAAAAAATAAGTTTGAGGTATATAAATAAACAAAATTTCAGGTGAAAAACAGCAGTTGTTTTTCAATTACATGAAAAAAAAATTTAAGGTATACAGAAATGTTAGTCATTAGGACATAATGATAAAAATTATAGTTGAATTTGTTTTATAATTTTCATAATTCTCTGTAATATTGTTGCTTTATAAAGCATGTGTAAAAGAGGGAGTGTGCGGTAAAGATTCTCTCCAGTGGAAATGGGAGAAAAGGGAACTTGGCATGTGTATAAACATTTTCAGGGAGGGTATGAAGGTAATAAAGGGGAATTAGAATCAAACAGTGCCTGTATCAGCCACCAGGGGGCGCCCTCAGCCCAGAGCAGGTTGCTTGATATCTCAGAGCAAAGTGGCACCAACCCTGGACATAGAATGCCGCTGACTTTTTAATCTACAGGATGTTTAAAAATTAAGTTTGTAATTCTATTTATGAATCTGCCCATGTTGATGGATTAAGATTCCCCATAAAAATAAACTATCTGCTTCCTGTTTAGAGTGAAATTAAATAGATATCTGTTTGGTGGTTTGTTTCCAGATGAACTCGATTTCCTGTAACTGATAGGCTAATATTTACAGACCAAAAGTTTGAAAGATGACAGTGTACTCTGTTCATTCTACAAAACCATTGCAACTTGGCATTATGGAATTTTTTTTTCAGCTTCGTGGTGTGTCATGTCTACCAAGGATTAGAATAGGGGAATTCAGAGATAGAATAAATTGGGAGTCTGTTTGCTCAGTTGGTTTCCAAGGAATAGTCAGTCCCTAAGTTTTTTATTTCGTGAAGTCCCTTGAGACTGAAACTCAAAAGAGGGATTGAGGGCACAGGGCTGTTTCACAGTCCCCTCTGGCTCACCTCTACATGAGCAAGAAAAACACCACACCCCAATGGCAAACATCAGAGGGTGAGGTAAACGGAGCAGGTGTTGAGAATCCCTGTGTGGTTCTAGGATCTTTGCCAATAGATTAATCTTATCAAGAAATGGGACTAGCCCTAGACTTGCTTTCTTTATGAGCTTGCATTCTTGAGAAAGAAAGCAGCTGTTTTGGTCATTCTTTGTCAATGGCTTTAAGTTCTGAGTTCATACACATCACAGAGCATTTATTTAACTAGTCTTTTTTTTTTAACTTTAAAATGAAATACGTTGGGGCACCTGGGTGGCTCAGTCAAGTTAAGTGGCGGCCTTTGGCTCAGGTCATGATCTCAGGGTCTGGGTCTGGAGCCCCACGTCGGTCTCCCTGCTGGGGGGGGGGTCTGCTTGCCCTCTCCCTCTGCCCCTCCCCCCTCCTCGTACTTTCTCTCTCTCTCTCTCAAATAAATAAAATCTTTAAAAAAATTTTTTAAAAAATGAAATGTGTTGAGTCCTGTTCTTTTTTTTAAAAAAATATCTGATACTACCTAAAAATAGAGATGCTGTTTATCTCATGGTGATGTTATATCTGCAAATGTGGTATAACCTGCAGCAGAAACTCTTTCCTTCAGTGTTGTCGGAGGAGAGAGGCATTTCAATCCTCCAAATTCTATTTTAGAGCAAAGTACTATATCCTAAAGCAGGTGTCTGCAAATATTTTCTGTTGAGGGCAAAATGATAAGTATTTTAGGCTTTCCAGGCCAGTATTTTAAGCTTATGGGCCATATGCAATCTGTTGTACCTATTCACCTCTGTCCTTGTAGTATGAAGTACCCACAGCCAATGTATAAACAAATGAGCACTGTTACCTGCCAATAAAGCTTTATTTGCAGACACTGAAATTTGAATTTTATGTAATTGTCATGTGTCACAAAATATTATCCTCTTTGATTTTTGTCAGCCATTTAGAAATGTAGATCTTGGCTCATAAGCCATACAAAGAGAAGTGGCAAGGGGTGCCTGGGTGGCTCAGTCAGTTAAAAGTCTGCCTTGGGCTCAGGTTATGATGCCAGAGTCCTGGGATCGAGCCCCACATCAGGCTCCCTGCTCCGCGGAAAGCCTGCTTCTCCCTCTGCCACTCCCCCTGCTTGTGTTCCCTCTCTTGCTGTGTCTCTCTCTATCAAATAAATAAAATCTTAAAAAAATAAATAAAAAAGAGAGAAGTGGCAAGCCAGATTTGGGCCTCGGGTCATAATTTGCTGACCCCTGTCCTAGATGGACTAATAAGTGACAGTTCTTTTTTTTTTAAGATTTTATTTATTTACGCTTATGTGGGCAAGCAGGGGGAGGGGCAGAGGGAGAGGGAAAGAGAGAATCTCAAGCCGACTCCACACTGAGCCCGACGTGGGGCTCTATTTCACAACCCTGAGATCATGACCTGAGCCAAAGTCAAAAGTCAGCCGCTTGACCAACTGAGCCACACAGGCGCCCCCGTAAATGACAGTTTGAAAGGACTCTTTGAAGTGTGAAGTTTACAGAGCAGTCAAAGATATTTACAAATCTGAGGTTGTCTCTGGATCTGTTTGTTAGCAGAGGGGAGAGTGGGGTCTGGTTCAGAAACTGGCATTGAGAGGAGTTGAAGAAGAAAAGGGGAAAGAGAACAGAACAATAAACATTAAGAAATTCCTTTTCTTCCTTCCTTGTGTTTGCTGCAGTTCAAATCTAAGTGAAGTGATTAGCCAAGTAGCAGAGTGATACAGAGCAGTTCAGATGATCATTCCCTGCCCCTGATGGCTCCAAAAACCCTTTCCAGTTTGAGCTGTGATGAATGGCGTGTGAGACTAAGAGCACAACTCTAAACTTTCTCTTACCCTGAGGAGGATCTGAGGCTGGTTCCTCCCCAGCAGCCCCCAGAACTGTGTGATTTTCTGCTCTTTATGTCAGCTCTGTGGCCATCCTAATTTCAAATATTGGTTCCATTGTCCTCAGACTGAAGACATTGGCTCTGAAATGTTAATCTTTGAGAGTCAAAATTAAATCTCCTAGATTGCCTTGCTCCCCTGAGTGTGGGGCCAAAACCTTTTTTTTTTTTTTTTTTAATTGGAAAATGTCATCAATCTTCTGCTGCTGCCTTGGCCTCTGTGCCCTGGGAGGAGACCAGACCTTCCCTCCAGTCCCATCCTCCTACTCTTTGTGGCAGGCAAATGGCCCGGGTTCTGCCTCGGCTCCTCATCGCCCCGAGGCCTCTATTACCGTCCTTACCTTTGGGCTGCCCTTGCTGTGAAGTCTCTCCTTGGTGATTGCTGGTTTCCCAGGGAGCCTTCTCTCCACCAGTTCCTGCCATGTCACCCTGGCCCAGCTCTATTCCCTGACTTTGGCCCCCTACACGTCCCCATGTTCCTAAACCTCCTGAGCTCCTCTTAGCTCCCTTGTTCTGCTCCTCCCACCTCTTCCTTAATTTGCCTGGTCCTCCTCCACACATTTCTCCTCTGTCCCATCACTCTAGAAATAAACCACAGCATCTGGTAGAGAGGCAGTGTCATCAGATTCTGATTTAGCAATTTGTATTTTTCCATTTTGTGCAAGTTTCTACAAAATGTCAAGTTTCAACAGTTTGGGGATTTACTGAACAAGCTGATACGTTTGTCTTTTTTTTAACCTGCCTCAGCTTGGAAATATTTAAGTCTCCTTTTAATTTTCTTTACATTTTTCAGATTTTCCAACTTTGGCCAGAACTCACTCGCCAAGCGGAGAGTTAACCCAAGAAGATTCTCTCCTCCGTGGCCAGTCTTCACGGGGACTCACTCCCACCCCCGCTCCCGTGACAGGTTATTCAAAGCCCACTGACAGCTTCCGGAGAGAGGCATTTTCTCAGAAGGTCGGATCCTCAGATCACTTGGAGAAACTATTCGAGATGGGTCAGGCGAGTACACCCTTCCCTGTTTATAAAGAAGAAGGCCATTCTCAGAGTTCACAGTTTTCCTCAGAGCAAAAAATATCTCCTCTGCTGCCTGAACATGTGACAACACTCCCCACGACAGGGACGGTTGCCTCTCGGCGGATCACCTCTGCCCCTCCAAAGCCTGCATCGCCCCCCACCGCCAATGCTCCCGGGATACCTTCTGTGACTTCTGAACCAGAGATGGCCACCTCAGCTCCAGCCCTAGCCTCAGGCAAGTCTCAGCCCCCCACAGACCTCCTGTCTACCATTTTGACCCGTGCTGCAGTTAAACCCAAAGCTAGCCTAGCTACAGTAGCTGTTTCAAACACCATCCCTGAGGCACCCATGGACTGGAAAAGCCCCCCAGAAACGGCACCCTTTCGAGAAATTTCCAACCTCACTTTGAACACAGAGGATGCCCATAATAACCCTGCTACACTTTCTTTGTCAACAGTGGGTTCGTCCACTGCTACGCCGCTTTCGTCAAATGTGGATTCTTCTCTGAATAAAACTGCTTCCCAGGAAAATGGGAAGGCCAGACCCGGTGGTTCCTCCCTGAACAGTGTTCCAGAAAGTCAAGACGGCCTTCCATTTGAAAAATGGCTCCTCATCGGAACCCTGCTCTTTGGGGTTCTGTTCCTAGCCATAGGCCTTGCCCTCTTGGGCAGAATGTTCTCGGAATCCCTGCACAGGAGACGTTATTCGAGACTGGACTATTTGATCAATGGGATCTATGTTGACATCTAAGGAGGAAACTAGATGTCTCTTCATTCATGTAGTTATTAGCGGCCCAAACTCAGTGACTTCCTGCTGACTCGCAGATCTTAGCAGGATGTCTGAAGCATCTTGAAGATAGGCAGATGCCCCCTACCACTTTCTTTTTGCTTGGCTTTTGAAGACAAGGGGAGAAAGGACACAAATTAGGTAATTTGAGTGATCTATCTCTAAAATATTTGCTGAAAACAAAGCTCTACCTAAAGTAATAAAGTATAATTGGCATATAAATTCAAAAATGACTGGCTTTTTGCAAGGAAAAGTGGTTAGGACTTTTAGGCTCCAGTTCATTAACATTTCTGGTTCCAGATAAAGTCAACTGTTTATGATATTAATTCTAATGGATTTACTTTCTTTTTTATATGAATTCCAATAAAAGTTATTCCAGATGTATGTCCTTCCAATTAAATATTTGAATAAATCTTTTGTTACTCAGTAATGTTCTTGTAAGTGACACATCCAGCTGGATAACTTTCAATTTATTCCCACCAACAAAATGATTAAATGATGAAAGTATGTGTTCTAAGTTAAAATGACAACCCCCCCCCCTTCCCCATCAGTGAGCAAAGAGGTTCCTTTGGGAGAACTCTAGCAGAAGATTAGCCTACGTGGAGACAGTGATAAGTTAGTTCTGATAAATAGCCAAATCTACTTCGGGTCCATTCTAGTTAACTATCCT